CTTTCTGTAAGTACTAATTGATGTTGCTTTTCGACATTATTGTATCAAATTTGGTGATCCAATGATGGCATGATATCTTTGAGACCTGATTTTTACATCTTGATGACACCTATAAAGCATTTATGCTGAGGATCCTTTTATAGTTTCAACTAATTTTTGATAGTTTTCTCCCTTTTATTATTTTGTAAAAATCGGAATGTGTTCAGTGATTTTTGTATTTTAGATGATGAAGTTTTCTGAAAGCAATTTATTAATTGCTTGATTTGATACATAATGCAGCCTAGAAAGGCAGACTGATCCTTTATAATTAACCCTAATTACTTTACATGATTGAATATAAGTTTCTCTTATTGATTGTTGTTTGCATCCCAGCTCACTATGAGACCTTAATATGTTTAAGGTTGTGGATTAAAATTAGTTCATGGTTATCTGAGCTTTTTGTTTTCATTTCTTTTTAAGTTTTGTTATTTATGGTTTTTGCAATGATGATGACATTATCTAATCCTTGGCCTTATCTTTATATCTTCCCAATGTGTCACCGCTTTCTTTCAGATGATTCCCTATTACTCTCTCAGAGATGCTTACATCAACCATCATCTTCTTCGGTTCTTTGTTCCTTTCGAAAACTACGGTTTTCAATCGCACCATAGAAGCTAAATTCTATGATTTGGCCACACCTCACTCCGTTTTGAAGCATCTACATTATTAGATAGATATTATAGCGTTTTGAAGCATCTACATTATTAGATAGATATTATAGTATAAGGATTAGAGTGTAAATATATTTATTATATATTCTTATTCTTATTGTATTACACGTTAATTGCAATCTATCACAGCTACAATTCTGATTTGGTATCAGAGCCAAGATCGGCTCCTCTAGGATTACAACCCTAACCGCAAAAAAAAAAAAAAAACCCTCTGCGCTTCTTCATCTTTTCTTCATCCTCATCTGATCAATCAACACTCTGATCATCACCATGACAACCATCACTGTCTTCTCCACAACCGAGAAAACATCACACAACTCCCACAAGTTTCTGTTTACTCTCTCCTCCACCAACTATGGTTTATGGAAAATTATGATCCAGCCGTTTCTTGTTACCAACAACGTCTTTGGTTATATTGATGGATCGATTCCTTGTCCTAACCCTACCATACCGCCGGCAGAAAAAGCAACCACCGCCGAACCCCAACCAAACCCCTCGTATGCTGTCTGGTTAGCCAATGATGCCCATGTACGCATGCTCCTGCTGTCCACCATCTCCGAATCAAACCAGGAAGACGTAATGGAATTCTGGGAGACCATTCCACATGGACACAAAACAAGAGGTATTATGTTACTAGCTCAATCAACTTTTAGAAAATATATTAAATTACCTTTATTGATAATAGCTAAGAATATTGTCCGTATTTTATTACGGCAATCTCCGGAATGGGATGAGGATTTCCAAGATTGGAATAGAGAAATTTATCTAAAATACAGCTCTAATGGTCTTCAATTCTCCAAAACAAAATTTCCTAAAAATTGGTTAAGCGGAGGTTTTCAGATAAAAATCATATATCATTTTCATTTGAAACCTTGACACAGATCTAAACTAAGACTCTATGATTCTGATAGAGATCTAAAGCAACAAGAGGATTTTGATTCTTGTTTTTTTTAACAATTTTGAGAATGGAAACGGAATATCCTTTTGGTCCTCCTCGAAAAACACCTTCCTTTTTTGAACCCATTTTTAAATATATAGACTATAAAGTCAAAATCAGAAAATTAAATTTTAGAGTTCGAAGAATTTTAAAAAAAATAAAAAAGAAAGAAGCAAAAACATTTTTCTTTATAAAACAAAAAATAAAAAAACTTTTAAAAGGAAATAAAATTCCATTATTTATACCGAGAGAAATATATGAATCAACTGAAACTCAAACAGAAAAGGATTCCATAATCAGCAATCAGATAATTCATGAATCACTTAGTCAAATTCAATCTACAGGTTGGACAAATTATTCACAGGTAGAAGAAGAAATGAAACATAGGATTGATAGAAGAAAGACAATCAGAAATAAAATAGAAATAATGAAAAAAAATAAAATTAATAATGCAGAATCATCCCAAAAAATTTTGAAAATATTAAAAATAAAAAATATTTAATTATTAGTTAAATTTTTCATTGAAAAAATATACATAGAGATCTTTCTATGTATCATTAATATGCGCAGAATCCCTCTACAACTTTTTATCCAATCAACAAAAAAAATTATTGATAATGATAAATACATTAACAATAATGAAACAAATCAAGAAATGATTAATAAAACAAAACAAAATAAAATTGAATTTATTTTGTCTATGACTATAAAAAAGGCCTTTGATAATCTTAGAAATAGTAAGCGGAAATTAAATATTTTTTTTGATTTATGTTACTTGTCACAAAAATATGTATTTTTCAAATTATCACAAACGCAGATTATTAACTTCAATAAGTTAAGATCTATTCTTCATTATAATGGACCGTCATTTTTTCTTAAGACTGAAATAAAAGATTTTTTTGGAAGACAAGGCATATTTCATTCCGAATTAAGACATAATAAACTTTCAAATTATGGAATGAATCCATGGAAAAACTGGTTAAGAGGTCATTATCAATACGATTTATCTCAGATTACATCGTCTAGATTAATCCCCCAAAAATGGCGAAATAGAATCAACCAATGCCAGACGTCTCAAAATAAAGATTAAACAAATGGTATTCCTCTAAAAAAAGACCAATTACTTGATTAAAAAAAAACAAAATTCGAAAGTCTATTTATTACCAAATAAAGCGGATAATTTAAAAAAAAAAAAACTATAGATATGATCTTTTATCATATAAATATATTTATTCTGAAACTAAAAATAACTACTATATTTATAGATCATCATTAGAAACAAATAATAACCAAGAAAATTCCACCAGATATAAAGGAAATTTTTTAGCATACTCAAGAATATTCCTAGCAAGAATTATTTAGGAAAAAGCGATATTATATATATGGAAAAAAATAAAGATAGAAATTTTTTGTATAAAATTAATAAAAATATTAAGGTTGAACCTAATAAGGACCAAAGAAAGAATAAAAATAAGGACCAAATAAAGGATAAAATTCATAATAATGGTCTTTTTTATCTTCCGATTGATTCAAATTTGGAAATAAATTACAAAAAGGTATTTTTTTTATTGGATGGTAATTAATGAAAAAATCTTAATCTTAAATTGCCTCATATCGAATCCAAAAGTTTTTTTCTTTCCAAAGTTTGTGAGACTTTATCATAAATATAAAGAGAAACCTTCGTTTATTCCAAGCAAATTACTTCTTTTTAATTTGAATAAAAATTTCAATTTTAGTGAAAATCAAAATATCAACGAAAAGCAAGAAGATGATTTTTTCAAATTTAGCCCATCAAATTCAAAACAATATTGAAGAATACTTTTTAGAATCCACCGAAAAACTAAAAATATTCCGTAAATGAGATTTTCCTTTGCAATTAAGATGGGCTGGACGTGTCAATCAATTGAATCAAAAAATAATGAATAATATCCATATATATGGTCTACTACTTGGCCTGATAAATGTTAGAAAAATTACTATATCCTATATTCAAAGGAAAGAAATGGATCTAGATATAACGAGTAGGAATTTAAATCTTACACAATTAATGAAAACATGAATATTAATTCTGGAACCTCCCCGCCTATCTCTAAAAAATGACGGACAATTTTTTATGTATCAAATCATAGGTATTTCATTGGTTCATAAAAGTAAGTACCAAAGAAATCAAAGATACCAAAAACAAGAAAATGTTACTAAAAATATAGACAAAAAGAATTCTGATTTGCTTGTTCCTGAAAAACTTTTATCGTCTAGACGCCGTAGAGAATTAAGAATTCTCATTTCTTTTAATTTGAATTTAAAGAATAACACTGGTGTGGATAGAAACACATTAGTTTACAATGAGAACAACATAAAAAAATGGAGTCAATTTTTGGATGAAAATCAAGATTTTGACATAAAAAAAATAAAATAATTAAATTCAAGTTCTTTTTTTGGCCTAATTATCGATTAGAAGATTTAGCTTGTATGAATCGCTATTGGTTTGATACCAATAATGGGAGCCGCTTGAGTATGTTAAGGATATATATATATATATATATATATATATATATATATATATATATATATATATATATATATATATCCATGATTAACAATTTTGAGTTTCCTAGATATTTTGTTGTTCTATCAAACAGTTCTGTCCGTAATCTAAATATATCCATGTTACATGCAAGCAACCAAAAAAACATATGCACTGTCTTACATTTCAGTCTAGGATAGTGCAATAATAAGAAAATGACGTAGGAAACATGTCGTATCAATTAAAGCTAGAAATTAATCAACAGAATTTTCGTACTAAACTATTCGGTATCGTCTTTTTACTATACAAATGAATTCCAAAATAGGATTTATTAATTGATAAAATCAGGAGTCTATAAAAAAATTCTGATTATTTTGTATACTACATTAAAATTTCTGACATTATTATTACTGCTTAATAAAATCAATATCTGTAAAAAGGGGAGTGTGAAATTATTTTATGGTAAAAAATTCATTTATTTCAATTATTTTTCAAGAACAAGAAGAAAACAAAGAAAACAGAGGATCTGTTGAATTTCAAGTAGTAAGTTTCACCAATAAGATACGTAAACTTACTTCACATTTGGAATTGCACAAAAAAGACTATTTATCTCAGAGAGGTCTGCAGAAAATTCTGGGAAAACGTCAACGGTTGCTGGCTTATTTGTCAAAAAAAAAAAAGAGTGCGTTATAAAGAGTTAATAGGCCAGTTGAATATTCGAGAGAGAAAAACTCGTTAATTTGAAGAGTTAGTTTGAATTATCGCTTAAAGTTTGATGAACTTCTTTTCGCTTTCAGCAATTCATGGAAGAATGAATCAGGAAAAATCTATGACTGGACCAGCTACAAGAAAAGACCTCATGATAGTCAATATGGGACCTCACCACCCATCAATGCACGATGTTCTTCGACTCATTGTTACTCTAGATGGTGAAGATGTTATTGACTGTGAACCAATATTGGGTTATTTACACAGAGGTATGGAAAAAATTGCAGAAAATCGAACAATTATACAATATTTGCCTTATATAACACGTTGAGATTATTTAGCTACTATGTTCACAGAAGCAATAACTGTAAATGCACCAGAGCAATTAGGCAATATTCAAGTACCTAAAAGGGCCAGTTATATCAGAGTCATTATGTTGGAGTTAAGTCGTATAGCTTCGCATTTGTTATGGCTTGGCCCTTTTATGGCAGATATTGGGGAGTAGACTCCTTTCTTCTATATTTTTCGAGAAAGAGAGATGATATATGACCTATTCGAAGCTGCCACCGGTATGCGAATGATGCACAATTTTTTTGGTATTGGTGGAATCGCTGCTGATTTACCTCATGGGTGGATAGATAAATGTTTGGATTTTTGTGATTATTTTTTAACAGGAATTGCTGAATATCAGAAGCTTATTACACGGAATCCCATTTTTTAGAACGAATTGAAGGATTAGGCATTATTGGTGGAGAGGAAGCAATAAATTGGGGTTTGTCGGGACCCATGCTACGAGCTTCCGGAATACAATGGGATCTTCGTAAAGTTGATCATTATGAGTGTTACGACGAATTTGATTGGGAAGTCCAATGGCAAAAAGAAGGGGATTCATTAGCTCGTTATTTAGTACGAATCAGTGAAATGACAGGATCCATAAAAATTATTCAACAGGCCCTAGAAGGAATTCCGGGAGGGCCCTATGAAAATTTAGAAATCTGCCGCTTTGATCGAGTAAAAGATAATATCTGGAATGAGTTTGACTATCGATTCATTAGTAAAAAACCTTCTCCGACTTTTGAATTGTCGAAGCAAGAACTTTATGCGAGAGTCGAAGCACCAAAGGAGAATTGGAATTTTTCTGATAGGAGATAAGGGTGTTTTTCCTTGGCGCTATAAAATTCACCCACCGGGGTTTATTAATTTGCAAATTCTTCCTCAGTTAGTTAAAAAAAATGAAATTGGTTGATATTATGACGATACTAGGTAGTATAGATATCATTATGGGAGAAGTTGATCGTTAAAATGATAATTGATACAACAAAAGTACAAGCTATCAATTTTTTTTCTATATTAGAATCCTTAAAAGAGGTCTATGGGATCATATGGATGCTTATTCTTATTTTTACTCTTGTATTAGGAATCACAATAGGTGTACTAGTAATTGTTTGGTTAGAAAGAGAAATATTTGCAGGTATATAACAATGTATTGGTCCTGAATACGCAGGACCTTTGGGATTTCTCCAAGCTCTAACAGATGGTACCAAATTACTTTTCAAAGAGAATCTTCTTCCATCTAGAGGAGATACTCGTTTATTCAGTATTGGACCATCTATAGCAGTTATATCCATTTTATTAAGTTATTTAGTAATTCCTTTTAGTTATCACCTTGTTCTAGCCGATCTCAATATCGGTGTTTTTTTATGGATTGCTATTTCAAGCATTGCTCCTGTCGGCCTTCTTATGTCAGGATATGACTCAAATAATAAATATTCTTTTTAGGTGGTCTACGAGCTGCTACTCAATCAAGTAGTTACGAAATACCATTAACTCTATGTGTGTTATCAATATCTCTACGTGTGATTCGTTAAGACATAAATTGCCCCCTACTTCTTTTCTTTCTAGGAAAGAAGTGTCATGATTTGAATATCTCTTTTCGTTTTTTATTCATTATTCGGGGGTTGATGAAGAAAACCAGATAGTTATATGAGTGAAAGAAACGACTTATCAATTTGCAGTAAAAGATTGAATCTCATTTCTATGTACAAGAGTTAAGAAAAGTAAACATAAGTATTAGAGACTGTTTACCCCAAGATTAATTGATTAGTGATCATAACTTGACGCGGGTTCAAAAGATCAACTTTATGGGGTTTTTACTATCTATTATCATATGTATTACCCTAAAGTAGATTGATAAAAATGACTGGATAGCTAGGAACACTAAGGCACACAAAGGATTCGTAATAGAGATTATGTAAGTCTATTTTTCTCTGGATAAAAAGAATTCTAATTGGGGCTTTAAATTGGTAGAAATGATCAAGGAGTACTTCCCACGATTCCGATCCAGAGTATACTTCTATTCACCGATTAAGTAAATAACTATCAAGAACGAAGTAATCCTTTAACTTTGTTTAACGTCTCAAAAAGGAGAATAGGAACGAAAAAACTCGAAAGACTTAATGGAATTGCACTAGAAAAAAATATATTTTTTCTTTCTCTATATAGAGATATAATGCTTGTCATAATTCGTGAACTAATGCAACGTCTAATTTGATTTCGTAATTAAAAACATTAGGTTGAAATATCTATGGATATTACTACAAGAAACATTTTATTCAAGGATTAAGTTATTACTCAACAAAGAAGAATTTAAATTATTAAAAGATAAGATGAATTCAGAAGCACTTTATTATAAACTAGGTGTGAAACCTGTGTATTACACAAGTTGATTTAAAAAAAAATTAAACATTAAAGTGTAACATAAAATATTTTTTAATATACAACTTTAAAATAAGAAAGGAAGAAAACATATTTATTGCAATTTAATATCATATATATGATATTTAATACTTTACATATATAATTATGACTTTAATTTTAAAAATTGAAACAAACCAAAAATTGACAAATGGATAATATTTATTTCAAAAATACCATAAAATGACAAGTGTCAAAACTCATAAAAGATTGACATGTGGCAAAAAAACCTTCATTTATTAAGGAGGATATAACAAACAGAATTCTAGTGTCTAATGGGGACCTTACAATGGATTTTATTTTCTCTCTATATATCCTACAAACATATCAAGAAAAATAATAATGGACGGGTCCTTAGATTTATTTGTGACCTTTGAGGAGCCGTATGAGATGAAAATCTTATGTACGGTTCTGGAATAGGGATGGGAACGGTGATGTTATCATCCACTATGATTATCTAACAGTTCCAAGTACAGTTGATATAGTTGAAGCGCAGTCAAAATATGGTTTTTGGGGATGGAATTTGTGGCGTCAACCTATAGGCTTTCTAGTTTTTCTAATTTCTTCCCTAGCCGAGTGTGAACGATTACCCTTTGATTTACCGGAAGCAGAAGAAGAATTAGTAGCAGGTTATCAAACCGAATATTCCGGTATAAAATTTGGTTTATTTTACGTTGCTTCATATTTAAATCTACTAGTTTCTTCATTATTTGTAACAGTCTTTACTTGGGGGGTTGGAATCTTTCTATTCCGTACATATTTGTTCCGCGCGTTTTTGAAATTACTAAAAGGGGTAGAGTCTTTGGAACAATAATTGGTATCTTTATTACATTAGCTAAAACTTATTTGTTCTTTTTCATTCCTATCGCAACAAGATGGACTTTACCGAGACTGAGAATGGACCAATTATTAAATCTTGGATGGAAATTTCTTTTACCTATTTCTCTAGGTAATCTATTATTAACAACTTGTTCCCAACTTATTTCACTGTAAAAAAATACTTCTATATTCATATTCACGACTTGTCTCAAACAAGAGAAAGAAACAAGTATCCTATTTTTTATAGATATTCACGATATGTTCCCTATGGTAACTGAGTTCATGAATTATGGTCAACAAACAGTACGAGCCGCAAGGTATATTGGTCAAGGTTTCATGATTACCTTATCACACATGAATCGTTTACCTGTAACTATTCAATACCCCTACGAAATAGTTGATTGTATAGTGTATACCCCTAAGTACACAACACAAAAGATAGGCAGTTATTCTATTTTCATCATACAATGATTATTCGATCCTTTTTCTTCTTTGTATCATAATTAAATCAACTGAGGTTATTCTAAGCTGTAACTTCAATCAAATAAGAATAGTTTCTTTCGTTGGTAGACTATTCCAGTAAGATGGAATCGAATCCGATTACCATATTTCTTTCTTAGTTTTTATCAATTCCTGTAATGTAAAAAATAACAATTTGAATAATGAATTTTTGAATAAAAAGAACTATATCTTTTTTTTGTTTTTTTTAATGAGAATCAATCTGTTTTTATGTTATTTCGTACTATAGAATTCTTTTCCTTGTGGGATTATTTTCCCGCGAGAAGTAATGAGAACAATGATAGAATGGATTGTTTCGCAGAATTAGAAGCTTTTGCACAATTTGCTTCTGGTCTCGATAAAGCTACTCCGAATCAATTGGCAAGAGGTCAACGCTTATGTGAATTGCCCCTCTCGAGGGTAGAAGAACAGGTACTGACTATTTATACCGGAACAAATGGTTATCTTTGATTCATTAGAAATTGGACAGGTAAGGAAATTTCTTGTTGAGTTACGCACTTACTTAAAAACCAATAAACCACAGTTTCAAGAAATAATATCTTCTACCAAGACATTTACTGAGGAAGCAGAAGCCATTTTGAAAGAAGCTATTAAGGAACAAAGGGAACGTTTTATACTTCAGGAACAAGCAGCCTAAACAAATTGATCACCCTTTTCAATAATTTTTTAAATAAAATAAAAAGGGTACTCAAGCGTTTCGGAGTCAAATCATTTAAAATTTATTTTTTGATATCTAAATCTAAAAAAATATCTAGAAAAAACCTAGCCACAGTATGTAGATTGTGAAGAAGACTATTTGACTTGACCCCTTCTTTCTTTGTTTTTGTTTTTTTAATAAAAATTTGGGGTGATGTTATTATGTTGCTATTGGCAGATTAAAATGTCATAAAATGCATTTGAGTCTAATACAATGGACTTCGGCTACATCCTATACAAAAGTAAAGGCAAAATAGAACGGATAATTGAAGGAAACAAATATTTCTGGGAGGGGTTATTGAAGTGTTTGTGAGTATTGAAGAAGAAATGAAACAAAAGATACGGTAGAGCTAGGACAGTTATTGTATGAGGTCTACCCAGTGCCAGATGCAGAGGCGCATAATAGATTGATATGAACATTATGAGTTGTCCCGTAAAAAACCAGTTGTTGCTGATACCTTCTTCTCGGTTCCTTCTTCTCGGTTCCTTCTTCTCCTTCTTCCATAATGTGATGTTCCCTGTGATTGGCTTTGGGCTTTTCCTGCACAGCTTAGGTGGAAGGCGAAGAAGGCCTCCTTCGGGGGGGGGGGGGTCCGAGCCATCAGTGAGATACCACTCTGGAAGAGCTAGAATTCTAACCTTGTGTCAGGACGTACGGGCCAAGGGACAGTCTCAGGTAGACAGTTTGTATAGGGAGTAGGCCTCCCAAAAGGTAACAGAGGCGTGCAAAGGTTTCCTCGGGCCGGACGGAGATTGGACCTCGAGTGCAAAGGCAGAAGGGAGCTTGACTGCAAGACCCACCCGTCGAGCAGGGACGAAAGTCGGCCTTAGTGATCCGACAGTGCCGAGTGGAAGGGTCGTCGCTCAACGGATAAAAGTTACTCTAGGGATAACAGGCTGATCTTTCCCAAGAGCTCACATCGACGGGAAGGTTTGGCACCTCGATGTCGGCTCTTCGCCACCTGGGGTTGTAGTATGTTCCAAGGGTTGGGTTGTTCGCCCATTAAAGCGGTAGAGCTGGGTTCAGAACGTGGGTTCAGATAGTTCGGTGTCGGTCCATATCCGGTGTGGGCGTTAGAGCATTGAGAGGACCTTTCCCTAGTACGAGAGGACAGGGAAGGACGCACCTCTGGTGTACTAGTTATCGTGCCCACGGTAAACGCTAGGTAGCCAATTGCGGAGCGGATAACTGCTGAAAGCATCTAAGTAGTAAGCCCACCCCAAGATGAGTGCTCTCCTATTCCGACTTCCCCAGAGCCTCCAGTAGCACAACCGAGACAGCGATGGGTTCTCTGCCCCTGCGGGGATGGAGCGACAGAAGTTTTGAGAATTCAAGAGAAGGTCACGGCGAGACGAGTCGTTTA